AAAATCTTATTTTGATTAAGTTGAAGTGCCTAGGTGAAACTTTATAAAGTATAGGGACCGGGATGACAAACCGGAACAAGTACAAGTGTCTCCCAGGCTATTCTGCCTTAAAAGAAAGGAAGGACAAAATTGGATGTCTACAATGGAAAACGGGGGTGGGAGCTTTCGCCTTCTTCGGAGCCCTTCGACCTAAAAGCAACGAAAACCACGTAAGTAAAAAAGAAAAATGATATTGCGGTCGAGGTGACCGGGATCAGAACTGGACTCACCGGTCGAAGAAGGTTGGGGCCCAAACTTCTTGTTGAGTGACGACCACTCACGGATCCCCACCGTGTGGGGCAAAACCTGAGCCGCCCAGTCACGAATATTAGCAAACAATGTAGGAGGCTCCTTCTCGGCTGCACCATAAAAGAACGATTAGGTAACCAAAGGAAGACAGCAAACGACCAGTCAACAAAAATACTTACGGGCGAAGTTCCACTCCTCGGGAAACCCACCAGGGTTTGCCACCACGTGCTTGGTTTTGACATAGAAAAAGTCAACCCAAAACCTACTATTTGTCTTATCGTCCACTTTCACCACCGGTCTTTTGGCCCCTCGGTGGCGAAGGTATCATCGTGCCCCGGTGGAAGCTCGGAGCGAAAAGATGTAGCAAGTGGCGGATAGAGATTCCGCGGTCGGCCAGCTCCGCGTACTTTATCAACATAATGAAGAGTTTGTAAATATAGGGAGAGAGCTGGGCCGGACAAATGTTGTAGTACCGGCAGAATTCCTCCGCTAACGGGGGAAGAGGAAGAGAGTAACCTACTCGAAATGGGTACGCGTAAAATGCGCCAGTATCCAGGACGATGAATATGGATCCACATCTTTCCGGCCGGGACCAGGTCAATGTGAAAAGGGATGTTGTACTTGGCCCTAAGCTCAGAAAGATGGGCCACTCCCATCTCAGATTTCACAGGCACAGGCTCGTCGGCAGGAGGCTTCGAAAAGTCCAACCTGGCCTTGTCACTACGAGGGACAATGTCTTTTACTGTGGGAAAGCTATCATCTTCTGCAACAATGGCCTCCCCTTCATCACGAACGAGCATGGCCACTGATAGCGGGGCGGGCTGAGAATCTACTCAGAGTTTGAAGATGCACTAGCCATTTGTATAACTATATAACAGCAAAAGAACAGGAAGAAGAAGAAGAGGAAGAAGAAACAAAGTGCATGATTGAGAAATCAGAGAGTGTAAAGTTCTCTTCAAAGAGTCTCCCCCTTTCTATTTATAGAAAACCATTGCGTTCGAATCGGTGCAAACAACCGTCAATAGCACTAGAATCGAAACGGCAGAAGCACAAGGAACGATGCAACGCATCAGGAAGATGCGTAATGATGACACATCAGCTGTGATGTCACCCTAAATCAGCCTCACTGACCGCAGCTCTCAGAGCGACACGTCATCATCTCGGCAGCGATCACCACTGCTCGACCTCCTCGCCCGAATTTCTCAAGAATTGCGATTGATGAAGTCCGCTCATTGAGGTCGACCAAAAGACGACCTCGATAAGCGAAAATACTAACTGTATAGGTCGAAATCCGACTAAAGAAAATTCGGCATGAAGAGGTGACCAAGTGTGAGAACTGTGGCCCATCATGGGCGACTAGGTCGAGGTCAGCCAGGGGTTGACAACACGAGCCGCCGAGTAAGCCATTAGGGCCGTGGTCAAGCAGTAGGAAAAGAAGTAACAGCAAATATAGCTTTGGAACTTTCAACAGGAATATTCCATTGAATATTCCTTCTACTGTACTTTTTTAGTATTTTTGGGAATATCCCACATAAATAGTAGGAAAAAGAAGGCAAAAGGGGGTATGTGATTTCTGATAAGAACTCTTACGGAAAGTAGACTCTAGAGAGACAATACAAAATATTACTTTTCCACAAGGATTCGATTTGCTGTTTATTCCACCTTTTTCTCGCATCCGATCCGAGAAAACCTCATATATTCCAATATGCATTTGTCTTACATCATTGTCAGAGAGAAGAATCGTCCACCTCATTCAACATTTGTGAATCATTCTCTTTATTTACACTTATTGCCATTTAATTAGAGCCGTCAAAATGGGCTTGGCCCGTGGGGCCAAACCAACCCAGCCCGTTACTTGGGTAGGGCTGGGTTGGGATCTTTTTAGCCCATTTAAAAGTGAGGCTTATAAGCCCGGCCCAAGTTAGCCTGCTGGCCCTTGAGGCTTGACCAAGGCTGGGTCTGGGCCGGCCCGTGGGCCAAAAATTAATTAAATTCAAATTTAAATATTTAAAAAAAGTAAAAACTAATAATATATTAACTATAATCCCCATTTTCCAACCTTATATTGCTCATTTATCCTTCCATATTAACTAGAATTTATATTTTTGATATGCATGTAGTATGACAAGATTAGTTTCTCTCTTGCTTAATTAACAATAAACTAATAAAGTTTTAAGTGGCCAATAATATTTTTTTCAAAAGAAAATATTACTTTAAGTTGCCAATGATCAGTTTTGTTACTTTAATATATTATTAATTAAATTGTTCTTCAGTATAGTAAAAGGTCAAGTTTTAATACCCAAAAAAAACCGACAACACTAACAAATTTTAAAATTTTTATGGACTATAATGATGAAATCAACAAATAATGTTAAACCTAAATTATAAAACCTTAACATATAAACCTATTGAAGCAATTCGTGAACCTAAGAAAAGTGAATGAAAAGTACTAAAAAATTATTCATGTAACGTTAAAAAAAAGAAGAGCTAGAGATATAGAGAATTTGCATTTCAATTACGAGATTCCTTGTCAAATATCAAGATTCTTGTACATTCTAAATAAATAGAAGTCGTCATATGATTTAGAGATTATGTCATGAAAAAATATCTAAAGATTTGAAGAAATATTTTTTCCTAAAAAAATTGAAGGGCCTGCCCGCCCTAGCCCGCGACCCTCTTAGGGCTGGGCTGGGCTGGCCATTTTAAGGCCCATATAGATGGAGGGCCGGCCTAGCCCACCAAATTTAAAAGTCCACGAAGCTTGGGTTGGGTCGGGTTGGGCTAGCCCGTTTTGACAGCTCTACATTTAATATAGTTATGAGAAACTTTCAGAAAGCACTATGTTTTAGTGGTTATTAGCTAGTTGTAGCTGCCATTTACTATATTACTTCCTATAGCTATGTTTTTAGATTTTTTAGAGTGTATTCGATTTATTTAAGCTATTGTATTCATGAATACAGTAGCATTTCTAGGCGTGAAACATGGGATTACAGCTAGAAAGATTTTTGTATTCGAGTGTATTCGACTGTATTCATGGCGTGAAACATGTGATTACAGCTGGACAGATTATTGTATTCGACTGTACTCGACTGTATTCACGGCGTGAAACAGGGGATTGTACTATTTTTAAATGGAAAGTGAATCAATTAACATAATAGACTCCTAATATAACTCAACAAACTCAATTATAACACACAAATTTTGTATTTCCAGTTATAAAAAGATTCTTAACCGAAAAACATCCAAAAAACATAGCAATCTTCAGAGAAATTATATAATACATTTGAATACATAAATTATATTAATTAAAAAAAACATATGAATACATTCATGGAATATAGCGAGATAGTGAATACAATGAATTACATAATATACAGCGGGATACATTGAAATACAATGAACAAAAAGACAATGAATACAATGAAATACATAGAATACAGCGAGATACATTGAAATACAATGGAAAAAGACAATGAATACAATGAAATACAGCGAGATACATTGAAATACATTGAAATATATTAATAGAAAATTCAAGTTGCTCAGCCCCCAACTCCGTCGTCTTTGTTCAAGAACAACCTTAATGTCGTCTCGTTGAAGCAGCATCAGTATCCAGTCCTTGCTCGCCGTCACCGTTGCCTCCCTTTTCCGACGATTAGCACGTAATTACCGGCGAAATAACGGAGGTTTTTGTTGATCCGATATGTTGTGTCAAAGAATGAGATTGGGAGGCTGAGGGCGGCGGTATCAATGAATAATGGCCATTGCCGAAACGGTGACGGTGACAATTGCTCCAGCGTCCGGCGGAGGAGAAGACATCGGGAAGTAGAGAGAGAGAGAGAGGGAGAATAGACATGGGGTAGGGGATAGGAGAAATTTGAGGGGATATGAGAAAGAAAAATAATACAAAGCTTATTTTATGGCTTAAGGGTAGGAGGTGACCATATAGATATTTGGTTATAAACAATCAAAAGGTAGCTATGGAATATTATTTTTTAAAAGAATATTTATTTTAAAATAAATAAGGTATCAACATCTTTATAGGAGGTAACTAATCCTATAGTTATTGCTCATCATTGTTCCTTCACTCATTCTTGACATCATTTAATACCATTTGTATTACATTGACTCAAACGTTATTCTGCACTATTTATACAAGCACGTGTTAGATCTAGAACTTATTATATTTAACTAGAATTTATTCATCACCTTTGTATTTAATTAGTTTAACAAAAGGTTTCACACTTTTTGATCGAACAGTTTAAACTTTAAACGTACAATTTTAATAATCCATAAATTTTATAAGAATTTGCTATACGATTAAATTGATTGATGTGGTATGTCTGACCAATCAGTTATTATAAGAACTTAAAAAGGAACGTGCTAATAATTGAAAACCATATGCGTTAAATTTCCTAATATGTTTATCTTTTTGTGGCAACTTTGCCCTTAAGTTGTGGTATATACGTGTTGTATTCATTTCAGCATCCTTTCTATATTCGATTTTGTAGTTCTCATTTGGTATAGAGTAGCATTCACGATGAACCATATTAGTAATATGTAAACTTTTGTAACAGTTTTCACAACATTTACCTGCAAAAACGGGAACTTGGATTAAGAGTTTAAGACAGCATTTTTCAAATTTCATCCCATAATAATAAAAATACAACTACAAGGGCTTTCTTCATTGTAAATGACTTGAACATGCTTTAGAAATTGACTATATTTGCTTAGTACACAGCTACAGATGTATTACAACGCATAAAAGGCCATAAGTTTCTACTTATCTGACACGTGTATCCCCTCAATTCCATATCCGAACGTGCTCTCTTCGCCTTTCGCCATTTCAGATTATAGACCTTTAAGAAACATATATATTCACATTAAAACACTCCGACATCAAACAATCACCAGATCTATGCTACCTACAACGCATTGAAGATCGAGAAACTTCTAGAAGAAACCGGGAGCTTCGCAATGTCAGTGGAGGAGAAGTTGATACAGCGATTGGAGTCGGCGGTGACACGGCTGGAGGCGCTATCAGCCACCGGCTTCCGTTCCGGAGGTTCCGTCGGGACAGGCGATGATACGGTGGTTTTAGATCCGTCGATTATTGCATTTGACGATCTGAGGTCGGAGTTCCTCGGGAAGGTTACGACTGTTGCGGAGAAGATCGGAGGAAAAGTATTGGATATTACTAAGATTGTTGAGAAGGCTTTCTCCGCCCAGAGAGAACTTCTCATTAAAATCAAGGAAACTAAGGTTAGGTCAATTCCTTAATCAACTCATTATACCATATTGTTCACCTCTTTAGAGCCCGTTTGCCCGAGCTGCCAAAATTTGCTTATTTTAAAAAGTACTTTTTCTGAAGTACTTTTGAAAAAAAACAATTTGTGTTGCCAATTCATTTAATAAGTATTTTTTGTAACATTTGGTAAACAAATTGTGTTTGACCAATTTTTAAAAAGTGCTTTTGAGTATCAAATTATCAAAAAAAATAGTACCAAGGTCTTATAATTATTTTAAAGAGAAAAATGAACTCAAATATTTCTCGTAAGAGACTTTTATTATTTTTTATTTTATTTAATTAAGATATAAAACATAAAGTAAACAACATAATAAAGATTTAACTCAATTTTACATATATAGTTATACCAAAGCATATAATATTATCTAGTATAATTACTTATTGTTACACAGTGATTTGAATAATCAAAATACATCATTTATTATGAATTAGAAGTCTATTCCACAAATTACTATATACCGATAATCCACCATGAAATAATAAGTAAAATAACTCACACATGATAATATTTTTCAACAATTTCATCTCTGCTTCTATCACACAACGCCTCCATATTAGTAGAAGACTTGCCTTGCATTTCTAAAGGAATATTAGAAGACCCATCTCCTTTCTCAATCTTTGCAGTCATGTCTTCATTAGCATAATAGTTGAATTCCTTATTGGTAGAAGAATATCGTCGGATGAAATTATGTATAGCCATGATAGTTGTAACTAGATGATACTGAGTGTCAAACTTGAAATATGGCATTGAGCGGAAAATAAAAATAATTTTAAAGAGTAACTAATTATTAACAACACATAATGTATAATTTATTTTCTTAAAAATTTAAATTAAGAAAGAAACTAATTATTATCTAACCTAACCAACTTTGTCATAAATTGCCAAGCTGCCTATTCTGAGACTGCCACTTGGCTTAATGTGGATATTTTTTCTTCATCTTTTAATAATATATAGATAGATTATGGGATGAAATTGTAAATTTATTACCTATTTGTAGGTAATTTTCACAAATTAGATTTGATAACTGGCCTAAAGATTCGAGAACTAATAGCCTATAACCAAAAAATTATTAATGATTATTTGTAGGAAGAGAATTGATAATCCAAAGAAGGATGTAGATAATTTGCTTTAATGTGAAAAAAGAAGAAGATAATTTGATAAGTTACAAGGCATTACACCCAAAAAAAAAAAAAAATCAAAAACAAGAAAAAATCAATAAAGAATTTGGAAAGTTACAATATGATTCATGTATATGATATCTTTAAATTTAAGAGAATGATAAAAATCAGAAACAAATATGAAAAAAAATAACTTAAATTAGTAAGGGATAATTTGAAAAGTATAAATTTTAAGGTGAGGATAGTTTTGTCTTGAATAAAGTAATTTTCTGCTTCTGCTTCTTGGAAGAAGCTAGAATTTTCTGCTTCTTTCCAAAAGCAGAAAAACTGCTTCTGCTGCTGGCCAAAAGTACTTCTTTATCTTGGCCAAACAACTTAAATTTTTTAAAAGTACTTTTTTGGAGAAAAAAAGTGTTTATGGCCTCCCAGAAGCTTGGCCAAACATGCTCTTAGTATGTGTGCAATGTATATAATATGTACTCCCTCAGTTCCAATTTAGGTGACACTATTTCCTTATGGATTCAAGTTTTATTGTATGCACTGAGAATGCAGATATATTATTTATTTATGCTTATCAAGAAATTTATCTATAATTACCCAGTAAGTGACCTAATTGTTAATTGTGTAAATATTTTTAACATCAGGCATATAACTTAAACTCTTTCCTTATTTGTTTGTTCCAAAATAATACAGTACTAGTACATTTCCATATTTAGAAACAAAAGTATTCAAACTTTCCATTTTACCCTTAATGAGAACGTCTTATAGTCACATAAATGTATGGCATGTTTAAGACCACAAGTCTAAAAAATCTTGTAGTGGCAGAAATGTTATGTCTTGATTAAGATGACAAATTTAAAATTTCTTAAGCTATCGAGTCAAATTACGTCAAATAAATTGAAATACAATGAACACGCAATTTCAGAATCGTGATGTAAGTTTTGTTTGCTAATGTGCATACAATAATGAAGCTGCAAAGACTTATATTATGCAATATGCATGTTTTTTTTGTTTTAATTGGAGTATCCATTTCCATATCGTTTGAGCACCATGACAATCTCTCTCATTAGTCTTGTTTGGAGCATAGGAACTGTTGCTTGAACCGTGTCGAAATAGCTTAATTAAGAAATGGAATTGTGCTTGTTTTTTATTTTTTGCTAGCTGAAAAAGCGATGTGCTGTCCAAGTCTTCTGATTGAATTCTGTATTTTTTTCTCGAAAAAGAGGTGTAGGCACAATCAATTTGTATTTCATCATAGCAAGTGAGAAATGTAGTTTCTTACCTTTTACTTGAATGTTTGAAGTTTATGTGCGTTAATTTAGTGAAAATACAGAAAGGCACTGTTTAATAGCTCACGAAATTGTTTTCTTTATATTTGTCATAATGCTGGTGCAATTTTTTTCTTGATTGTGCAGAAACCAGACAACTCAGGTTTGGTTGAATTTCTCAAACCTTTGAATGATGCGATCAATCAAGCTACAACAATGACTGAAGGACGGCCTGATTTCTTCAACCACTTGAAGTCTGCTGCTGATAGTCTATCTGCACTTGCATGGATTGCCTACACTGGAAAAGATTGCGGTTAGACATTTTTTGATCGTTTCGCGTAAGTCGAAGGGCACATGTTGAACTTCTTATTTTTATTTGCTAGGCCTGAGCATGCCAATTGCGCACGTGGAAGAAAGCTGGCAGATGGCTGAATTTTATAATAACAAGGTAATTAGGCCTTTTCTAGCAGCTCAGATTCTCCTCTCAGTTGTTCTCTCTTGGTTGAAGGAAGCTTTAAAATCTTGTTATAGAACCTGGACAAAATTAGGTGGAGAAGGGACTGTAGTTTTGTTATCCCCTCAATTTTTCTGGCATGATGTGGTGGATTTTTTGATTGCTTCTGTTTCTTCTCGGTTTGAGTGATAGAACCACTTTCACCTCTTTTACCCTTCCCCCTTTTGCCTTTAAATGGTGTACTAAGAAGTGAATGCATTTTTTGTAGCCGCACCCTTTTTTGGTCCTTTCCCAGTATGTTAGGGTTGCATCTTTGAGTGTGTCGCTTGAAAGAAAAGGGTACAGTTATTGTTTCCCGCCTGAATTAATGGACACACATAGATGGAACTTCCATACTGTCTGGAGGAGAATAGCAGGAAGGTATGTGAAGTGCCCTTATATTTCATAGACTTTTCTTGGTGATAAAGAGGGCCAAGGACTTACTATCATTGGTGTCATACTTGAATGAAAAGGATACTGTTAATTATTTCCCATCTAAATAAATGGACGCATGTAAATACAACCTGCATATTGTCTGGAGGGGAATAGTAGGAAGGTATCTGAAAAGTCCACATATTCCATAGAATTTTCATGGTGGTGAAGAGGGCAGAGAACTTATTATTGGCAATGGTTGCTCCCGCTCATTTAGAACACCAAAGAAACTACCAAATAATAAAAAGAAAAATTATAATTTTCAAGCTGCACTTATTTGTATTTCTCTATAGTACACTTTTTGGTCTTGCGAATTTATGCGTACTGTTTGGTTGGTACTACCGCCTAGAACATCTCGAAATCCTATCTTCTAACTTCTGTAAAGTATTTCAATATATTGTAGATTCTTGTGGAGTTCAAAAACAAAGATGCAAATCATGTTGAGTGGGCAAAGGCTTTGAAAGAACTTTATCTCCCTGGCTTGAGAGATTATGTTAAGAGCCACTATCCATTAGGTCCTGTATGGAGTGCGACAGGGAAAGCTGCTGTATCTGCACCATCAAAAGCTCCTTCACCAAGTGCTCCTGCTCCTCCGGCTCCACCTCCAGCTTCTCTCTTCAGCTCTGAATCTCCTCAGGCTTCATCATCACGCCCCAAGCAAGGGATGGCTGCTGTTTTTGACGAAATTAATTCAGGAAAGCCAGTGACTTCTGGTAATTTCCCTTCCCACCCTCCTGGATAATAAAGATAGAAGTTTACCCTTATTTGAATATTTCCTTTTAGGATTGAGAAAGGTAACAGATGATATGAAGGCAAAGAACCGTGCTGACAGAACGGGCGTTGTTAATGCTGGTGAAAAAGAAGCCCGCATGAGCTCACCCTGTATCTCTAAAACTGGACCTGCAAAATTGGAGCTTCAGATGGGCCGTAAGTGAGTAAAGAATAGTCATCAACCTATCTCTATCTGCAATTTGCCAGATCATTTCTAACTTTGCTATCATGTTGTTGGCAGATGGGTGGTTGAGAATCAAGTGGGAGAGAAGAACTTAGTTATTGATGATTGTGATGCAAAGCAATCAGTATATGTCTATGGGTGCAAAAATTCAGTTCTGCAGATCAAAGGTAACTTAATTCTTCTCTATAGCATAAACTGGACAATAATGAGGTGGACTTATGTTACACTTGTATTCCGTAATTAATATACTGGTGTCACACAGGAAAAGTCAACAACATCACAATTGACAAGTGCACTAAGATGGGAGTTGTATTTGCGGTCAGTTATGAACTTCAAGAAAAGTTGACTAAATATTGAGGTTGATGTATCCTCCACTAAATGGCTTACCTGATAATCTAAATATGGTGAACAGGGTGTAGTGGCAGCTTGTGAGGTTGTCAATTGCAATGGTGTGGAGGTGCAATGTCAGGTATCAAAATGGTTCAAAACTTTTATATATATATATATATATATATATATATATATATATATATATATATATATATATATATATATATATATATATATATATATATATCTTATCACGATGAATACAGTTG